ACTAAAAGGGTAAATGATTGACTAACTTTCGGGTCTCTCGTGGGATGCCGTTAGTTAGTCTGGTTCTTATGGACTAAACGGGTAAATGATGGACTGCTATCGGGTCTCTCGTGGGTTGCCGTTGGTTAGTCTATTACCTACATCCTTTGTCCATTGCAACTACCCGCTTCCACCAATAGGATCCCTCAATATCCTTTTGATCCTTTTGTCTATTGCTTTGTCTATAAATTTCAATAATCAGCCCGCAGGTTGGATACCAAAGATGACCCCGGTGAGCACCAACCATCCGTTCGCTGAGCCCCGAAAACGAGGCTCGGGTTCACAAGTAAATCCGGATCAGTGCGTGGCAAGTTTTGCGATAAAACGATCCATCTACCATTTAAAACCATGGAAAAGGATCGATTATTAAGGTGTTCGTAGCGAGCACCTTAATAATCGATTCTTTACCTCAGCTTCAAATGGGGAAATATCGATACTCGATCATTCACGCCACGCTACTGATCCGGATTCGCCGGATCGGATTCACGCGCTCTACCAGATCCGACGCTTAAATACGCTTACAGTCAATCCAAGAGGGTGGTTCGCGTTATGGAGGGCGCGAAATCCTTCAAATCGAAAAAAGCCTACCGGACTCATCGATTCATCTCCGAGGTATTTTTTATTTTTATTTATTTTTATTCGCCCCCCTTCCACTGTGCGTGCGCTACGGCGAGCGTGTGAAAAAAGAGGTGTCGGAGCGTTGGGCGCTCGTGCGAACACTCGCGGGGGAATCGAAAGCTCCGGGAAGCGGGCACTGATCGAGAGGAGTGCTATCGATTCGGTCGTCGAAGCCGCGGCGACGCACGGTGGATCTAGAGTCCCTTTATACTGAGAGTCAAGATAATGTGAATCCATTTCTGATTGGTTCCCGTATTTTAGGCCTTCACAGTGTCACAATCGGTAATAAAGATTACATTTTCACCGATTGCAAAGATTATAATCTGGAATGGACCAGGGAATCACGGGTTCGGCAAGGAACAAACGGAATGAGAGAAGGAACGGAGAAAGGAATTTGAGAATGGGCCGATCAAAGATTACAAAAAACGTTCAATTTGTGTAATCTTTATTCCCGTTTGTGACTCCATGAGGGGGTGTCGTCTTGACTATCGGTATAAAGGGACTCTAGGTGGATCGAGTCGATCGGAGAGGTCGGACTTGAAATTATTGACTAAAACTGCAAATTTTAATGTTTATTTGGTCACATTTTTGGGTTCGAGAAAATTTACAAGAAAACCAATGGAACCGCACTTTCAGAACCTCAAAGTTTTGTACATACGGAGTTATAAGCGGTTAAAATTTCTAAATTTTGTCCGACCTCTCCAATTGACTCGATCCATTGTGCGGCGTGGGCGCGGATTTTGCGGGGAAAAAAAGGGGGCTGAAATTCTACAAGACACGTGACAAGAGGTCGGACATGAGGTTGTTTACTGAAACTGCAAATTTCGATGTTCATTCCGTCACATGATAAATTTTAAGGGGTGCTTCCATGAAGAAATCTCACGAGGAAACCAATGGAGCCACTTTTAAAATCTCAAAGTTTTGATGTAGCGGAGTTATAAGTTTTTAAAATTTCCAAATGTCAGACTTCTCCGGTTGACTCGATCCCCTGTGCGACGCCGGGCACGGGTGCCGAACTTGACGTATTGCTCCGTGCTGGCTGCTCGACTGCGCGCACTGCTCGTGCCCTTGAACACCACCTGAGTAAACTTTTTCCCGAGCGCAGCCTGTCACTGTGCTCTGCATGCTCTTGACGAAACCGCACTTACGAGCTCCGACCTGTGTGATCGAAAAATTTGACATCCTCGGGGATACAAAATGCAATTTCACAAAATGAAATTCATAGGCGGATCCAGACAAATCCACAAATTTACTAGAATATGACAGGGAAATTTCGGTTTGAACTTTTGCAGATTTTGGCGTAAAATCAGAAAATAATTGAGAATTAATATAGGCGAACGTTAAGGTGACGAGGTAACGTCTGATTGTGAGCAAACTTAAGGGGTTTTCCATGTTTTCCCTGATTTGAGAGCAACTGCTCATCCTTGTGGGGTGATATTATGCCATGGTAAAGGAATAACGGCGTACGAACATTCAAATGTGAAAACCTACATAATTTATTTTTAAGAAAAGCTTACCATACTTTTCCTATGGTTTGGTTCCATACGATGGATTGATTTGCGAAAGGAATCCTCTGAAAATGGCATGCCAAAATATTCACAAGTTTTCCAGAAAATGCATATTTTAATGGGAGATAATTGGCACCATTCTGATGTTCGTACGTGTTTTCCCTTAGTGTATGCGGGGCTGAACCTCAAACATCCTTACAGCCATCGAATGTCACAAAAATTGTGCAATTGTGTATTTTAGTCGAGAGGAAATTCTCAATCTCAGAAAAATCCGATTTAGTGTGACAAAGAAAACGGTTCCTTTAGGAGTTCCTGTAGTTGAGCTGGAAAGAATACACCTGTTGCGCCAAGAAAGCGATAGATTACGCTGAATGAAATTATAGTCGATACAAATAAGCTTCCCTCCTCGCGATGAAATTTCGGATGAGACAGTCGAAAGAATTTTATCACTCCAGGCAAAGCAATTTTCGTTGATAGGCCTTGCCTCCATGCGACGTTTCATGGGATTTTTCTGAAGTTCAAATCGCAGGAATGAAACTTCTTGGACTTTTCCTCGTTAAACAAAACATGAAATTTCCTTTTCTTCTCTCTAAGCCGCTGTTAGGACCCAACAAGGACTCTGCTTGGCACTGTGATTATAGTATTGACCAACTCATTTTTATTCCAAACCTCGCAAGTGAGCTCTTTCCCTGGGGACAAATCCCACGAAACATCCTAAGCAGAGAGGGTTTACGATTAACGTGCGTGGCATGATCAATCGCTTTTTTGACACGACATGTGTTTCCTCTGGCAAATAAACCCATAGAAGCCACAGGCAACAAACATACAGGAGAGATCGAAAACCACCCATGTATCTCGCTCCATAAACTTCGATACGGCCATTAAAGAATGCGTAAAACGATACATCATGATCGATTTTGACAATTCTGCTTATCTAAATTGTATATTTTAGACATTCTTTTTGCGCGGAATGACCGGGGAAGATATTATTGTTTTGAAAAAAAGAGAAAAAAAAATCCGACAGCTTTCGAATGTATATTGCATAATCTTCACGAAGACAATGGATATTTTTGGAAAGAGGAATTTTCCGCAAAAATCTCATTTTTCGATTTTTTGGACGTGTTGAATTAGGTTCAAGAATCGACTTTTTTACACATCCCTTGTCCTAGAATGACACAAGTAGCACGAACTGGAGTCCGCAGAAGTAACTACTCCATATCTAAAGAAAGGGTTCACGTCGTATTGCGTAACCCACTTCAAGCAGGGGATGGGATGGTGAGTCTACGACGGTGGTATGCCGAGGGGGCGGGGGTTGAAGCTCAACTTTACGTAACGACCTAAAATAAAGTGGTGGAGAAAAAGCTATTCGGGAGAAACCTCGTTGAAAGATCAACGAATAATTACATTCAACTGGTTTTTCTCCTTTTTTAATATAGTTAGGAATAGTTGGCCCTCCCCGTTAAAGAAAAAGTTGGTTCCAAAAACTTAATCATGATATTGAGGTACGACTGTTCAGGAGTCGGTTTTCACTACAGCTTTTAAGAGGAATCCAATGCACCCAAAATCATGCATTTTCCAACCCTCAATTGACACAAATGTGAACTATACCGTTCGTAGCGTATTCGTGACGGTACTGAAAATTTTTTAGTTGAAAACAAAAACTCAGATTTTTCCTCTCGACTTGTCAAAAATCGCTCTTCAGACACAAATTCTTCCGTGCACTGAGGTCTCGTCTCTTAGGGAAGGCCATATTTCGACGATAACACTGCCGTGCTAGGAAGAACGCCGTATGAACATTCAAGAGTTGCCAAATTTCCTTCGATAAAATCTTTATTTTCTAGGAAAGTTATCAATGTTTTTTTTTCATATGTTCAGAATCTTTATGTAGAATTGCAAACTAAATTATCTGAAAAATTGGGAGAAAAATATCCATAAACTTACCAGGAAATTCGCGTTTTATCAAAGGAAATTTGGCAACACCTAAGAGTTCATACGGCGTTCTTCCTTAGCACGGCAGAATACCATATACTACGTATTTTTCTTGCGTTTTTTCAAAATTTCCGCTCATTCTTTAGCTCTTATAGAGAATATTGAAGAACCCTTTCCGTGAAAAATATTAGGATTTTATTTTTGTTTTTTATTTTTTCAAATAAAAACTAATCTCAGTCATCCTTACACATAGTAATAGTAACAAGGGAACGTCCCCAAACGAGATGTTCTGCAGTTTCATCATCGCTATCCGCGTAAGGGGCAAAGGCGTAACAGAAACAAAAACTGCAACGATTATGTGAACATCACGTTTCGCACATTGCTCATTTCCAGACGCCAGCGCCTGCTGTTTACGCGCTTTTAGCACAGTATTAAAAAAATAATTGATAGACAGATTTTGAAAAGGGGTTGGTTTCCAAAGGATTTCTCGACGAATTAATCGACGCAACAACAAATCGGCAACTGGCTGTGACTCCTTGATTTTTACTGCCCCGATCAAAGCGAATCCTTGGTCTCTTTTACCCTGCTCATATATGACTTTTATCTCTCCCTCGAAGCCTAAAAACAAACTCGGTACTGGCAACTAGTTGCGGCGACTGGTTACGGCGACTAATCCGGCGAGAACGCCTGGCGAAGCCAAGCCGTAGGGTAAAAGGCGTACGTACCTAAATGAGTACAGTAAGATACGAAGGTGCAAAAACACTGACGCAACAGCTAAGTGTAGAGTACGGATACGACGTAAACCTAGGAATCACTTAAAACGTAGAACTTAAACTTAGTAAGAGTCCAGATCCGCGAATATCCGCGGAACTTGTTTCGGAAAACACTTGGGGGTCCCCGGGGGGGATGGCGGTGCCCCGGGGGCGGGTCGGGGGCCCGGGGCCGGAGGCTCGGGGCCCGCACCCGGGCGGGCCGGGTGCGGGGACCGGACGGGACGGCGCGACGCGGCCGAGTGGCGACGGCGGAATGGAGAGCGAGGCCCGCTGCCCCGTCTGGGAGCCGCAATGCGGCGTTTCCAGCGGGGCCTGCGCTCCAGGAGCCAGCTCCAATGGCGGCCGGGCTCCAGCCGCAGAGCGCTGGATGGGACGCCAGCCCCCAACCCCCGACAACCCCGAACCCCGGCTCCCCCCGAGTCCCGACCTCGATCCGTTGCGTTACCCTCCGCCCTCCGCCACCTGGGAGGGTCGCGAGCTCTTCAACTGCCAGGCTCCGCGTTTCATCATCCGCTCCCGCGCTCCCGAGCCTGAGCCATCCCCGCGCGGCAACGTATGGATCCCCGGGTCCCCTATCTCGGTCATCGGTCCACGCGTTCCCAGCCAGAGTGAGGTTAGGGCCCACGGACCCTAAACTCGGGGTTCCCCTCCAAATACAGAAAAAAACCTCTAGGGCTACCAGGGCGTCTACCAGTGATAAAAAACCGAAATTAGGGACTTTCGGGTACTTTTAGGGGTGTTTTTGCAAGAAAATCGGGGAATTTTCCCCCCGAGATACGCTGGGAAAAAACACAATGGATCTAGGGTCCAGACTTTTAAAAACATCGACAAGAAAAAATACTCTTGATTCAATCGGATTTTTGCTTAAATCAAGAACCAAGCCTCTAAATTTGAGCGGATTTCCTTTTGACTTAAGCTTAAATCTGATTGAATCAAGAGTATTTTTTCTTGTCGATGTTTTCAAGAGTCTGGACTCTAGATTTAATGTGTTTTTTTCTCCAGTGCAAAGACCCTAAACTCGAGCCACCCCTCCAAATACAGAAATAAACCTCGTGGGCCACGAGCATTACCAGGGTGTCGGCCAGTTATAAAAAACCAAAATTAGGGACTTATGGGTGCTTTTAGGGGTGTTTTTACGAGAAAATCGGGGAATTTTCCCCCCGAGATAAAACGAGAGAGGGAGCCAGGTAAAGTGTTAAAAGGTGTAAATGAGACAATTAATTTTACTGGTCATGTTGAACCGATGAATTTAACGAAAAACCAAGCAACACGTCGGTTTTTGTGTTCCTGGTTACACCGCGCTGCCGCAACTGGCGGGAAAATTTGAAAATGCCGGTGTTTCAGACGATTTTTGTCATCTTTTGAGGACCTGAACAAGAAAATTGGGGACTTTCGGGGATATCGGGGACACTCTTCCAAAATCGGGGACATTGGGGACTTTTGGGGACCGGTAGACACCCTATACGAGCATTACCTACATTTTGGAAAGGCCGTATTTACCATTAGCCTGGGGGCCACACACTCTAGAGGGTGCGACATTTTCGAGAAGTCATCTCAAACCGTCATGACCTGTAATTCGGATCGACACCAGCCTTAAAGTCGCAGGACTAGACTAGGGAAAATGTAATGCGAAACTTCAAAAACGCGTGTCTTAAGTTGCGGGGTATTTCTGACTCTTCACTTCTCTTTCATTTTAGTTAAGGGCAGATTGAACCGACATAACTCTTGACCTACCCTCTAGTCTGCTGGTGGATGACGTGTTGAACGATTCAATCAGGAAACAGGCGGTAAATTCCGCTTGTTTATTATGATACTAAAGGAATTTCAACCGTTCGCCACCGGAAAATTTTTACGAGGGGCTTTTGACTTGCCTCTCTCCGGCCTTTCTAATGACTCATAACGAACTTTCTACGTTGGATGAACGTGGACGAAAACTAAGCTGACCGTTAAATTTAGTCATATCTTTTACGAGCTACTGTGAAAACCCACTGTGAAACTTCGTGGTTTAAACGAAAGTGCGCGAAAGAATATTTGTTGTTCCTCTAGGGCAGCGACCTGCGTGGAATCGTCACAGGTGACAGGTTTGCGTGACCCCTCGGGACACCTCGTTCAACCACTGAAAGGAGGCCGTAACTTCACTGAGAAAAAAACCGTGTCTTCTATAAAACTGCTCGCTTTCTAGGGCCCATTATAGGATAGAGATACGCCCTTCAGTCAGAGGAGCGAAGACCTCTGCGAGTTGTTTAGGTCACTGGAGTTCCTAGCTTACAGATCAACATTCATCTTTGCCTGGAGAGAGTGATGGAGGAAGGGGGGGGGGCATGATAGCCTGTTTGCCTCCTTCCTCAGACCAAAAGAAGAAAAAAAAAAATGAAATGAGTGGCTCATATGAAACACGATGTTTTTGACCCATTTTATGACTGCTCGCAACTCATGATGTCCCTGTTGCAATCGCTAATGTTCAGGAGGTGTGCGTGGTTGCTTGGTTCGTAAAGTTATGAATCTGGGAAAAGTATTTTTGAATCTCAAAATTACGGTGGTTGTTTATTGTTTCAGATCCCGATAGTTCCCTAATTTTCAGGGGAAAGAAAACCCGGGTGGAACCTTAAGACTGTCGGTTATTTTTCCTATCTCCTCTTGGGGGTAACTAGATTTTCCTCTATAATCTGGGACGAAGTATGTATTTTTTCGTCTTAGTCCGTTTTTCGGAGGCGTCGTTTTGGAAGGACAAAGAAGGGAAGCTTAATGCACCCCCAAGTTCTAATCTTAAAGTCTAAACCAGCAAACCACGATTCTGTGACTAGCGCAACTGACCCATCTTGGCAAATAAAATCGCCTTCGAAAAAAAAGACGCACCACGCATTACCAGAGTGCTCGAATAGTGGTATGACCCAACATAACCTAACTCAATATCGCGGAGAGTCGAGTTCCGCATTATTTGAGAGCGAAAGCGTACCCTGGGGCGATATCTCCGTCAATACTAGACGTAGGAACCAAGCGTTTAAATAAATCTTATTGTTTTGTGCGATGTAATTAATGCCCCGTAAGAAGCAGTGGTACATCTTCAATTTAATAAAAAAATTGTTTTGTACTAATCTATATGCTGAAACCATCAAAACAAGATTCTGTAACCAGCGAAACTGACCCGATAGATCTTGAATTTTTGAAAAATAAAGAGTGCTATTAGTTAAAAGAATTTTATTGAGTTATATTGTCCCATTCATAAACGACTTTAAATCTGCACGTTTTAAGCACCAATCCAAACTCGTATCGCCATTAAGATGGCGTCCAAAAACACCCTTCCTGCCGCAGGCACACTTTGGATCCGCACAGTGCCTCTATCGGTCCATGGTCCATGAGGTTGTTATTATTGTACGGCTTCCAATAAAGTGCAAATAAAATTTCCTCCGAGCGAACTCCAGGTAATTTTATACGTGATTTATTTTGGCGTATTTGAAGATTCCAAGGACGAACGTCCATGACTTTCTTTTTGAAAATAAAGATTTTATCAGGAGAAATTAGGCAAAATTTGAAATTTGCGGGATTAGCAAGTACGTTCTCGATTCGAATCGTAGCTCCAAATCGTCTCTTCCTTAGGGTCCTTCCAATAACTGCGTGACGCTATCGTTACGATTTTGGTGTGTGAACCCACCCCAGATGCGGATCCAGCTATTTGGCAACACCGGGTTTTCTCCATTTAAACCTGTGCTAATTAATCGATTCTTGTCGGAGCACCTGATCCCTCCAAGAATCGATACATTTCTATAGGTTTAAATGGAGGAAATCTGGTGATGCCAAATTGCTAGATCCGCCAATGGCCCACCCTCGATAACGCTCCGTAACGCTGCGCTGACTTCCCTTTTTAAAGGAATACGTGATGCTGGCTCTGATTTCTCGGGACTGACGCTCAAATTCACCTAAGGGTGAACTAGGCAATCGAGAGGGGGGGGGGGTT